GGAGCTGATGCTTACCCATATAGGCTCTGTGTTTGCTTCATAAGCTTTTGTGAGGTCCTGTGAGCCTTGCTTAGTTGATCCAGAGGATTTTCCTGATGTCCTAAAACCTTTTTGGGTCTTACACTCTTTTCCTCCTTTTCTGAGGGATTCTCTAAACTGTGAGAGAAGGATTTGCTGGGGACATTCCATTTAGGGCTAAGTATTCCAAGATTCTCTCTGTATAATGTCTGACTGTAGGTCTATGCATCTATTTTCATGTGAGGTTGCAGGATAAAGTTTCTCTGATAGTGACTGAATAAGGTACAGATCTATGAATATAGATTAATATAATTTGGAGTTATTTTATTGATGCTATGTTTTAGACCAGTAGTGTTTTCTTTCATCCTATGTCTCTTGGCAAATTAGTCTCTGTTCTTGGTCACAGAGACAGTGTCAAATATGAACTCCATCTTGTGGAGTGAGCCTTAAATCAAATCTCAATTTGGTTGGATACTACCACAAGTATTGTACAAAGATTGCCCTAATATATCTTGCAGGAAGAGCAGGTAATAAGTCAAACGTTTTGTGGATGGATTGGTGTTTGTGGGTTTTTTTGGCATCACATTTTTCTTCTTGGTATTATGTTTTTGCTTTATGGTTTATTTGTTTATTGCCCTCAGAGTATCTTCTCTGCACCAAAGATATTAGAACTTGTGTGTGAAGTCTCCAAAGAGGCATGAGCTCAATTTCTCCATGTTCAATGGATTGTATGGGGTTCTTCTTGGCAATGAACACTACTGTCAGTTTGAGTGGAGCAATCCATTGTCTTAGCAACAGCCTTGGTGTCTAGGGACTTCCACTCAATTGAATGCAACACAATCCCAGGACTGGAAGCCTGCCTCATTTGGTGACAAGTGTTGGCCAGAGGTCTCCATATCCTCCTTTATTAGAAGACCTTATTAGCATCACCCTTTTATATTTTAGGTAGTTTCTACTGTGGAGGGCCACAACCACATTCTCCATTACTTTAAGGGGCAGAGGCATATTGACCTCTGTGACTTCAAGAGACATAGGTAGAGATTGACCTCTGTGACCTCAAGGTGTGGTAGTACACGCCTTTAATCCCAATGCCTGGGAGGCAGAGACAGATAGATCTCTGTGAGTTCAAGGTGTTGTAGCACACGCCTTTAATCCCAGCATTGGGGAGGCAGAGACAGTGGGACTATAATGCGCATGTGCTTGGTAACTTTCCACTGCTGCGTCCCTGCCTACTCTCGAGGCGTCATCTGGGTTGATGGGCAGCGGACCAATCCAAGAGTGACACATCCGAAGCAAGGACTGTTTCCTATATAAGGGATGAGTTCCCCTCATTCTGGGTCTCCGCTTTGTAAGCTTATGCTCTCTCTCTCAAGACGCATTAAAGCTTTTCTGCAGAAAGATCCTAAGTGTGCTGCATCGTTCTTGCTGGCGAGACGGTAGCGCGGGACATTCTACCACACTGTCTTTCTATATCATCCTTCAAAGGACCATCACTTCCAGCAGTCTTTCCCTGCATCCCCCAGATCCACCCTAACTCTCCTTCCCCTACTCACATGATCCTCTCATTTCTGTTCCCATCTGGCTTCAGTCTATCCACGAAGTCAACTTTTTTCCTCTTCATGGGAAAAAAGTTTGTCCCCCTAAATTCCTTCCTCTATTTGTAATCTCTCTGAGGCTAGGGATTTAGGTAAGATGAGGGAGATATATCCAAAATCTCATTTAATTATGCTCTCCAGACCCAAAGAGAAACATCTGAGTTATTACTATTTCACATTGCACATCATACTACCATACTCCATAAATATGTGCAAACATTTTGTCAGTCAGCAGTGAAGATAAATAGATTAAAAGATGTTAATAAAAGTTGATAAATAAAATAAAACAGATGTAGGATGGCACAAAGGTTTCCACTATGGGTTCAACATTCTGTCTCTCTTTGTTTAGAACAGTTTGCTTCCTTAAGGCAGTAAATAGCAAGAATAGTTGTCTATAGGCATATAGCAGATATCCAACTGGGTATACTTTTTATGGAGAAACACACTTGGGAAATGGACAATGCGGAATTTCATTGAACTGTACCATCTAATTAATGCTGATGGGGAAAGGCATATCGGATTGGTCAACTTTCAGATAATGTCACTTCATCTCTTTCTGCTGTCAATATACTTATCTGTCACCTGCACTGATGCTGATTGATTCATCCATTCATTAGATATCTGGAAGCAGTTCTCCCCAGAATAAAGGCATTACATTTTGAAATGTGGACAATAAGAGAGAGCTAAATTTTAGGAAACATTTTTTTTTCAACTTGAGACCTCTACAATCAGTTACTGAAAACCAACAAAGAGTGTCTTACATTGGCTCAACCTCTTCCATTTCTCTTAAAATGATGCAAATGTATGTGTGAGTGTGTCTGTGTGTATGTATATGTAGCTGTGTATGTACATGTATATGTACTGTGTATCTATCTATCTATGTATCTATCTATCTATCTATCTATCATATATATATATATATATATATATATCTGTGTATGTGTATTATATGTATATGCCTGTATGTACATCTTTGTGTGTGTTATCAAATTGTTTCTGAGCATTTTTTCTATGAATATAATATTTTGTCTGAAGGAAACTTTTCTTATATTTATCCATGTGAATATTGTATATTAAACTTTTGAGATAATTGTGAACCTGCTATCACTAATTATACCCTCAGAGTCATTCAGAATAACTAAAAGTGTTGTACTTTCATAATACAAATGAAATCTTGATATTATGGCAAATATATCACGTATTTCTATGGATCTAAGAAGAAATAAAAAGAGAATATAGTATTGTGATGTAAATACATGCTAGTCATTCATTGTTTCTAGCTTAGTTTCATTATTGGTATAAATTCATATAACCTGTTCAGTGTAAAGTACCATTTGACTGAATAATAATCCTTTGGACTGTGTAAAATGAGCATATTTTGAAGTTCTCTTTAGTTATTTTAAATGAATATTTCCCACTTACATATAATTGAAAATATATATTTTTTGGAGAAAACCATTTTTAATTGAAAAAAATAAAGTAATACATCTCAGATAACACCATATTTAACAACATAAACTAAATTGTAAGGAGAAATAGCTTTCGTAATTGGTCTGTGAAAATGATGCCTCAGCATATTGCTACAACTTCTTAGCTTTATCCAAGAGCTACGGACTAAATAAAGTAGGGGATTTCCCTTCTATGAATTAAATTATAAAGACTATCTATTCCTGTTCTTAATTCACTGACAAAGAGAAGTTAAAAATTTTTTCCATAGTTAGGAGTTCCCCGAAGTGTGTGTGTGTGGGGGGGTATTTCTTATGAAAAAGTTATTAATATTTAACTCATCCACAAGACTTTCAAAACAGGATTTCAAAATGGCCTCTAGTATAAGTTTCCGTTTAAAGAAGTTTGTACATCCAAGGATGGTTTACGGACTCAATGGCTAAATTAAACTTTATAAAAGTATCAAAGTTATTGCTTTAAGTTGGAAGAACTGTGGACAAAATTCTCCTTTTAAAGAGTTCATTATATAGATGCTCCTAAAATTCCTGTATGCCAACTGAAAGTGCTAGAAAACATGCAAGAAACAACAGGAAAAAAAAAGGCATTAAGATGTATGGCTTTTGTGTGTGTGTGTGACTGTATTACTAAACATAAATAAAGTTATTACTGTTTAACTGAAAAAGGTTTTTACAAAATACATGTTCAAAATTAACATTTTTATTAAATCAAGTTAAAAAATGTTTATTGTAGAAAAGTCAACGAGGATATTAAAAAAATCAAAATATACCTTTTTTTTACAATATATGTATATATTAGCAGCAAACTACCTCAGAGATTTTCTTTTGAGTTTAGTTATTTTAAAGAAAGCATAACAGTGTATGTTAGCAATGGAATGTCAAGAATTCACTCTTCACCCTATACTCTGTAACCTGGCCTCCTCTACAATACTTTACATCAAAGACTAAGAACAGACTTAGTTTTGACTAAAGTGTAGTCAAACAGCAGCTGGTAAAGTCTCTCTCACTACATCACCTATGCATTATTTTCAAATATAACTAATGAACACCATATAACAAATGTTTCAGGTGTAATAATAGCCAACTGTACAACTCAGTATTTGGCTTATTGTTTAAAAAATTTGGTAACATACAAAATTTTAATCAAATGAGATAAATACTTCAATCCTATATTGCTTGCCCATTATTAAAACTCTTAATAGAAATTTTATACATAACCTGACAAACTCTAGGCAAAGATATATATGTGTACAGATACATGCTAAAGTGTATGTACATATCACATATATCTTCAAACTTTGGATTTTTAAAAACTAATTTAAGTGTGATATCACTGACTGAAGTCAGCTAATGAGAAATACTAACTACAAAGAACTGCCATACAACTCATTTATGCTTACAAATTATTCAAGCTAGAGTGAATAACAAACTAACCACAGAAAACTCTTTTCTCTTCTCTTGCTATGTTGATCTAATAGCAAAAGAAGAAACATTTGTACAATACACTTTCAAAGTCAAAATTATTATAGAAATTTCACTAGTCTTCAAAAATACAAAACATTACATAAATACAATTTTCTTATTGTTGAATTCCTCAGCTAGAATCTATACTTTAAAAAATCCCTTAGGATTATTCCATTTAGAACTTCAAGTTTCCATTCTGCAGCTCTGACAAATGGCTCAGGTTTATTATTTTTATAGGAATCACATCTTTCAGAATTTGCTAGTTACCTTTGTAATAAAGTACTGTTACCTCTCTGTACTAAAGTAAATAGAAGAAACTGTATCAAATATCAAAAACAACTTAATGAAACATTCAGAATATGTAATACAAGGAAGAAAAGGACAACAGAAATTCCCTTTCACCACACAAATAAAACACAATCTTTTCCATGCTGTTAAAGTAACTGTCTAGAGAATGGAGTTAGGGTAGCCCACCTTTATTTTCAATTAAAAACCTAATACAGTAGAGTGAATTATTTTTATTAATATGCACAGCAAATTACTGAAATGGTGACTTCATGTTGTCTTTCCCTTAAAGATGGCACTTGTAGGTACAAGGATGAAGAGATGTGTACACACATCAGATGTTTACTTGAAAAGACTCTTCTACAGCAGTTTGATACTGGGCTTCCTCATCTAGCTGAAGATTCACAAATTCTCCATAATCAAACTGATGTCTCTGATTTAGATGACTAACGAAATTTCTAGTAATCTGGCTAGGATCTCCCCAAGGAAGAGACACACAAATAGGACATGTCACAGGAACTATCTGAAATAGATGGTTACTCTTACAGTGATCCAATAAACGCTGTCTGGTGAAATTTGACTCTTGACATAAGGGACACTTAAAGGTGGGATACCCAGAAGAACTTGTATTCTCTTGGTAAGTTTCTGTGTTATCAGATGAAGGTGTTTCATTCCTATTACTGCTCCTTACTGGATCTTGAGAACTCTTAAAGTTTGGAATGACAGAAGAAACACCATATTCATCCTGATACTTCTTACAAGATTTGTAATGATGTCTCATGCGGTAGAATTTAATCTTTTTTGAACAGCATCTGCAGCTACCAGAAAACTTCCTCATGATATTTTCAAGATCTAAGGCCCGTTCTGAACATGCTCTTTCTCTTCTAGTCACACTTCCACGACACAGGGGACAATGAATTCCACTTTCTCTCATTGCAGTCAGGAAACATTTTCTACAGAAAACGTGGTAACAGGCCGCGGTTCGCACCGGCGTCTTAAGCACCTCCTGACAGACGGGGCAGTAGAAATCATCTTCCGTGTAGGACGTGGCCGCCAAGAGCTCCTCGGCGAAAAATATTTTTATAACAAAATCCGTTGTTGATTCTTTAGGAATTTCACATCATGCACCTCAATCCCACACTCATCTCCTAGTCCCTCCGTATTCACCCCTCACCCTGCAGCATCCCCCCTCAAAAGAAAGCCCCCCTCCAAAATTTAATTAAAAAGAAAACAACCCCCCAAAAACGCCTTTCTCCTCTGTTTTTCTGTCCTCTCCAACCCCTCTTCAGTTATCCCAGTAAAATTGGGAGCTGTTTTGTATATCCTTTGCCCAAACATCCTCACCTAAAATATTCATTGCAATAAGTCACTCGTCTGGCCCAAGGTCTCTCTGGCCTCCGGCACACCATCATCACTGGACCTTCAGCGATCCCCTTGGACTTCCTGCCACTGCCCTGGGTAATTGAGAAATGGAGACCTGACACCATCCCTCAGCAGAACCAGTTGCTCTATGCATTCCAACAGATCACAGATGGGGTAGATCTTAGGGAGGGCCTACCCAAAGCCCAGGATATAGGTCTGGGTATTGGGTGAGCTATTTAAGTATGGAACGCTAGGACCACTCCCTTCAGGTGAGAGGTGGAGGCAGTTCTCATATTCCCATAACACTGGTCTGAGCTTTCCCATGGCCACAGTGAGGGGTGGGGCCATCTATCTCTGGTGTAAGGGAGAGGGATGCATCTCTTCCATGTGTGGTATAGCCAGCTCTCATGCTGCGGTATCTAGTGAGGGGCAGGACAAGCTCGCCCAGTGAAGGGCAGGGCCAGTTTAATACAGCCTCGTAGGATTTCAGCATGCATGATTTCCATGTCTGTAGTGACCCTCTTTCCCTCTTGGATGTCAATATCTCAGTTGACTGACCAGACCCAGGCATTTGCGCAGCCAACAGTTGGAACAGGTACCACAGACAACTCCTGAGATCCTGGCTGCCGTGGGGCCACAGCAGAAATCAATTAAGATTTATGTCTGGATTTGGAGATACAACCCTGGACCTGGTAAATTCCAGACAAGCAATCTATTGAGTTCTTTACATTTCAACACAGTCTAAAACTGTTTTTAATTATAATTTAGAGAGAACACACTAACGCTATCCTTTTTCTATGTCTTAATGTTAAATTTGAGTTTAAAAATTTTCCAGTTTTCTCTGAATGTTTTTACTGCACATACATCACAGAGATCTTGTAGCAATATTTAGGTTGCTGAGATGAACAGGAAAAGTTGTTTCCTGAGCAAATTATGACTTTAATCTCTAGTATATAAGGAGATAATTGTACTGTGATCATTGTCTAGTTATTTCTTAATACAGGTGAAACTACACATACACATCATGTACAAATAAAATGGGTTTTTAAAACACTTTAAAGTCAATACCCAGAAGTGATAGCAATATCGTGTGGAAACACTCTATTGAACACTGTCTGTGTTGTGCAAAAACCTCTCATGATGAGGTAGAAGTTAGTCCATTCCTGTCTTTTGTCCAAGACACTATATAATGATTCAAGCTAGTGGCAATATGGAAATTATCAATAAACCACAAAAATGAGATTTTCTACATCTATAGTTGATATTACATCTTCTATGACATAACAGAACTGCTCCGGACATTTGTACATCATAATATAAAGTTAAAAGTATTTTTTTCTAAAATATAATCATAGATGTACATATCCACTATAAATTTGCTTTCAGTGTAAGGATTCAATGGGATACTTATAATGATCCTTTGACAAAACTTAAGCTATGCATGTCTGTTTCTTCAATGATAACTTTGTCTAATTAATAGAAATTATAAAAATAGATCATATAGAAAAAATGCTTGATATTTTTAGCATTGCCATTATAATCATAATCAGAGAAATACTTCAAGATATTCAATACATATATTAACCCTAAGAAATAAAAGTCCATTTCTTTATTTTTGGGATTCCTAAGACTTATGTAGTACATGAGCAAAACCTCAACTCTAAAAACAAAATATATTCTAAGATTTACTGAAAAAATGTCTACCATCTAAGGTAACTCATTTGTGGTGTAACTATCTTTCACAAATGAAAGTAAATGAGAACTTTCACAGGCAGAGAGAAGTTTATGTCATTATTGATGTCAGGGGTGTCATGTGGGTAAGGAAAAAGAAGATTCCACTGGTGAAAGTAAGTTGCTACAGTATTGTTTTGAATTTAGACCCAATTAAATTAATAAAATAAGAATTCAAATAATTATAACTCTATGTTCATGAATGACAGTTTAGGTGACTTATTTTAACTCTACTTTTAATAAAATGAATTGTATTAAAATGTATCTAGGGTTCTATAGACTAGTTCTGAAGGATAACCAAGAACTTTGGCCATATTCTGCAATGGTTGAGGGTCTGAGAGACTTACTAGCTAACAATTCAAAAGTTGTAACCCATTCCTGAGAAAGGATTTTTGTTAGTTTGTGGAGTTCTAGAAGGGTCATTGTTGAGTTACTATGATGTGCATATATACACAGACCACTGTAAGTTAACTTTCTGTTTTTTTTTCAAAAAGTGTTTAATGTTATTTACCTCTCCCTTTATTTTTTCCTACCCTATTCTTCATTTCCTTACGCAAACATAGCCTTTATTACTTTGTATGCTCTAAACCAATGTATTCTTCCATTACTTACTTGAAAGACTCTGTCCACGGCCCCTTGGTAACTTCCTGACTTAAGTATTCCAAAACAAAGACACATATTTGCAAATTCTAAGCTAATGTCAACAAATGTAAATAAAAATATGATATTCATATTTCCAAGTGTGTTATCAAAGTCAGAATTTTTTTTGCAGCTCCATCAACTTCCCTGTGAATTTCATAGATTTTTTCTTAGTGCCTATATAATGTTCTATTCACTTTTAATTATCCTCTAGTCTGGTATTTCCGTTTCCTTGCTATTATGAAAAGAGTAGCAAAATATATAGAAAAGCAGTCATCTCTACAATATATATGAAATGGTTTTGTTATTGAATTCATATGACTTCCTAGTGAAAATCATGAATACTTTTAGATAAATAAAAAAAATCTCTTTAATAATAGTGTGGGAATCATTTATGCTAATGTACAAAAGGATGCCAGCACTGGGGAGAAAAATTAACCAACTTATATAGTTCATAGAATTATATGTTATAAGCATAATTTCATTCTTAAATCTCTTTCAGGTCATAGCTTCATGTTACAGTTTAAACAATAAAAACTCACACAGAAGTTCTAATGTGGCCACCTGAGCAGCTTCACACAGTAAAAATATTGTTATAATTATTTCTTAAGTACATCAGTATTATTATTTTTGAATAGCACTAACCTAGTACCATATTCCCCACTTGGCAGAATTATGCTTTTTCTGATAAAAGAACTAAGACTTAATGGCAGATTAGGACTTAATGAAGGCTCTCAGCCTGCTCTGTACTTTCAAACTGTCTGTTAGAGGTATTTATGATATAGCAACAATTCTAATGGATGGTAAACCTTGGTGAAAAGATATTTACAGAGGTGATTTTTTTCCTAGCAATCCAAATCCTCAGTTGTGTTTGAGATATGTAATTTTATTTCCTCTGGATTCTATCAGGCCTAGGTACCATATTGCTTACTATCAAGGTAGTTTTGTGGCAGAACTCTTTTAGATAAACTCCACTTTGTAAAACTATTTTTTTAATTTTTTAAATATACTATATAACTTATTACTGTGAAAAATCACATACATGACAGAAACAACATAGAAAAAGATTTATTTTGGCTTAGAATTTATAAACAGAGTCAGAAATGACAGGAATGGCAGGGAAGTCAGGGTTGGTTGTGAAGTTTGATTTGAGCTCATGAGACACTGTTGTTCAATCTTCATCTTAGTGGACCAGAAAGGAGCGAGAACTCTGACAGGAAATGAAGCCAGGTGCTAACACTCAAGAGCTGCCTCACTGACTCACTACTGCCATCATAGCCCCATCTCTTAAAGGTTCCATAATTTTCCAAATAATTCCATAGTCCAGGACCAACTATTACACTATTTGGAACTGTGGGGTCAGGCCACGCCACTCCCAAACAAAGAACATACTGCACGTGTGAATAGGGTAAGCTGGCAATGGGACTATTGTTCAAGGGTCACAAAGACCTCTTAAAGTCAAACTGAACTTGGTATTTTAGTATTCATTCAGCATTTATCATTTATTTCTTGACCATATATATTCAAAAACTTTTCCAAATTCAGTTTATTTCTTTTTTTATCATTTTATTGACAAAATATTCTTTCCTTTTGGTGTGGGAGAATTATCTGTATTCTGTCAATCATGTATTTTAATAAAACGCTGATTGGCCAGGCAGGAAGTATAGGCGGGTCAACCAGACAGGAAGTAGAGGCGGAGTAATGAGAATAGGATAAGGCTAGGGAGGAGAAAGGTTCCTCAGCCACTCCTGCGCAGACCACCGAAGAGACAGCATGTAACCTGCCCAGCTGAAAAAGGTACGGAGCCATTATGGCTAACATAGATGAGAATAATGGGTCAATATAAGTTATAAGAGTTAACAAGAAGCCTGACCTAATGAACCAATCAGTTTATAACCTGATGTAGACTCCATGTGATTTTCCTTGGGACTTGCTGGCTTGTTGGGGTACTGGGCTGGACAGAAACCCCAACAAGCTGGCCCTCATGTTACACCTTTTACAATGTATCCTGATTAAACTTTTCCCTTTCTCTAATTGTAGCCCCTTTCTTTGTATAGTTTAATACTGTCTAATAAGTTTAATGTTAATTTCTTTTGACATCAATTATATTATTTTGAATTTTTCTACATCATATTGGTTATATACCCAAGATGTTATATGTGAACCAGAATTTAAGTCTGTTTAAAGCTTTTTGAGTAATCTCCACATTGATATCTATAGTGACTTCAAGCCTGTACCTCCATCACCAGTGAGTAAATGTTCCTTTTTATTCCGCATCCATGCCAGTATACGGCCATCATTATCTTCTCCTCTTCCTTCTTTCTTACAGATTCTAAATTAGGTATATACTTGAGGTATAGAACATGCAATAT